ACACTCAGCTGATATTACAAAGTCGAAGGTGGAAGGGAACCTCTTCTCTTCTATTCTAGCGCAATGTGAAAGAGCGTCCAAATTTTTCCCTATCTGCAAGAAGTGGGATTATCTATCGCATTAGGTGGAAGTGCATTCTTAAGCAGTAAATTTGGTGTAATTTATTATTGTATTTTAGGCATCATTATTATGATTTAACAACATTTTTGTATGAAACATTGTGTACAGTGAAGACTTTGAATTAATTTCTGAAACTGATTTATTTTGTTAACTTTACTGCTCGTTGCTGCGCAAGGTTTGAGATATATTGTAAAATAAAAAAGTAAAATAATTCATCCACAATCTGTGTTTAATATTTCTTATATCTTAATTTCGTTTAAACTTATCGCCAAGTCTCAAAATATATACAGGGTGTATCGATACAGCGGTGGCAAACTTTCAGGAGAGATAAGAGTACGCCTAAACGATGGGAAATCACACAGGAATGCATGATTGGAAACGCTTTCCGGGCATGGTAGTGATGACACAAAACGCAAAAAAAGGAAGACACAAACAGTGACATAAAACAGGCTTTATTATGTTTCTTACAGCAGAAATTTACAAATGAGAACAAAAACAAGCAACAATCGTCATTAAAGAAGGTTTTCGAAATTACGACCCCGGACCGCGATGCAGGTTTTTATTTTTAGGTTTTTTATTTTCTCTGGTGCATGGAAGATCTGCATTACGAATGGAAGATAGCATGGAAGATGCATGACGCACGGTTCTTGCATCACGCTCTGAGTCGTAATTTCGAGCACCTTCTTTGATGATGACCGTTGTCTCTTTACGTTTTTTTAATTTAATTTTTTATTTTTGTTGTATTCCGAATAATAAACATATTTTTTCACCCCGTTCGTATTCTTTCTTTTGTGTCGTCACTACCGCGCCAAGAAAGCGTTTCTGACCACGCATTCTTATGTGGTTTCCAATCATCCATGTATACTCTCTCTCTCTCTCTTCTGAAAGTTTGTCACCTGTGCTGATACACCATGTATGCAACTTTTAAGTTGGATTTTATTCTCTACTTTTTAACTCTCCAATTCTCATTCGCAAGCAGTTCATACTATAGCGAGTTTCAGTCCTTCGCTGATTCGATTCGTCAGAGAATCAGGGGTTTATTAGCTTTTAAATAATAGAAAATTATTACAACTTTCTATTATCCCTTTGCTTCAATTAATCTAAATCCATGTCATCTATTATATCAGTATGATATAAATAGATCAATATGTAACCTATTTATATCACATTGTTTGAATTAATCAGATAAAAAATAACCACCATCAAAATCACCCTAGGTATCATTAATTAAAACTTTTTGAGGACCGTATACATAAATCAATCGCTTAGTTTTTTAATTGAAATCAATCAATTAGCTTCTGTTACTCTGTATCACTTAATATAAAGCACTACAGAGATATTTTGAGTCATGTCTGATACATCTACTAAAAGAGCTTTGCTTTATTTAATTTTCGGGGGAAAAGCACTTCGAGGGCTACCTGCTTAAGGAGTTGGATGCCTTCATGGAGGAATTTCCAAGGGAAACTGGCTCGTATAGAATACCAGTGTTTAGCAACTTTACCGTTCGGCCGCTAGGCTTCTGTACTAAAAAGAGAATAATTCAACTGTAGGTTTTGTTACACGCCCCGCTCCCAAAAAGGTAAATTTTGCTCATTTACGGGGACTCCCGTTACCTCAAAAAATTTAGTGAAATAACAAGCTGCTTACTAGCTGGAACTTCTTTGTCTCTAGAGCATGTATCAAAACTTTAACTTCGTGAAGTTTCACCGAAAGTTGATGTGAATTCGAAGCTGCTCCAGTCTGAAGGTCTACCAGCTTTAATTATTTTCTTAAACTGGAATCACGATTCTGTGATTAATTGTTCAAGGATACTCGATCTTGAAATCTTTCTGAAACACCTTAGTATTTTTTACTTAGGTAATTTATAAGAACAACTATGTTTCTTAGCGTCCATTCTATCTTTGAAGTTTCGTCTACACTGAAACCCATTTAAAGGAACAGATTTGTTTATAATTCCTCCTAAAGTTTAATTTTCCTTTCTTTATAAAATAAGCTGCTTTCCGAAAATTAAGAACGTGACTGCAAATTCAACAAAACTAGAAAAATTATGTTTCGAATAACTCAGAATTTCAAATAAAAAGCAATTAAATTATATATTCATGACTGAAAAATTAAAATGAAAACTTTATATTTAGTATATTTGTAACATAAGCCTGCGATGTGTATGTTTTTTAGCTTTTTATAATTGATTCTTACGTATTTTTATCGCTAAATTAAAAATAACTTTCATTCTTTACCATCAAGTCAGGATTTTTCGCAAATCGCAAATTTCAAAATTGTTAAAAAGTCGAAAATTTTCGAAAATATGAGACGTCAAAATAGATATAAAATGTTTGTTTCATATAATTTATTCTTTTTTCGGTTTATATTAAGCATTCTTATAAGAGGTCTTACGGGGGTGAACCCTTGTTTTTCTAATGAAAAATGCTATAAAACTACTAATTTTCTACTTTATTACATTTTTCATGTATTTCTATTAAGTTTTTAAAATTTTTAAAAGGTACATTGGGCCCTTAAAACCCTTCCCGCTCCCCCTTTCGTCTTTCCTAAATATTCCTTAGGAAATTAACGAAATTTTTTGAGTCCCAGATGAAGAGACGATGGAAGAATTGGCTTTCCACTCCTGAGTCCATACGTGGAGTCGACAGCTTAGCCACGAGTAAGTATTAGCAGAGATTTGATTGGTTGCGACAACTCTTAATGTACTTATTAGCAGCTCACCGCGCCGTTCATGCACCACGCATCTCTCAGTGCTGTTTCAATTATTAGCTATTTTCATGCTTACATCGAGTTTTCTTCCTTCCTCCGTGATCTAATTCGTTTTTATTGATGGAAAATTTATTTGCATGCCTAAAGCAAATTTTCCGTTTTCTAAAAGGCTTCAAGAGGCTTTAAAAAGTCTGCAAATTCTTTTTTGTTACATTTATGATGAATTAATATGTGAAAAAGCAAAACAGAAGTATAGATAGTTTCGTTCGGTAAGCGTACTTCGCGTATTTTGGAGTGAAAAGAGAAGATCAAGACAAAATTTGAGCTCTCCCCTACTTTTATTTCACAGTTATAGACGAAAACATCGCTGCAAAAACGTCGTGGATAAAAAAAATGCAAGGCGAAAACGTCGTTTTACAAAACATCGTGAGAGAAAATAAGCTAGAGAAAAAACATTGCAGTTCTAACACATGGGTGATACTATAATCCTTTTCAGTAACGGAAACTTTTTACTGTGGTTCATTAGTATCGCGTTTATTTTTTTATTTTATTTTTTTTTTGTTTATATATATATATATAAACGCAGGAATATATATTTATATTCCTGCGTTTTACTTTTTATATTGCACTTATTGCATAAATCATTTATATATTTTTTAAAATGTTATCGATTCTTGAAATATATTATATTATTTTAGTGTATTTTTCCTTACTGCATGATATAGCTTTATATTAATAAGCAATTAATTAATAATTTTTGTAAGCAGTAAGATTTGATTATGTCGATCAATTGCCGATTCATATTCGGCTATCGACCCCTTGATTATCATTGACTCTTTCAATACCCATCCCGTTGTAAATGCCTAACCTAGATATTAAATTTTTATAGACGTAAATATTAAAAGACAAGTTTTGTTTTATAATTCACAAATACGATGAATGTAATCAAACTGTAAAACTATTCCTCTGATGCCAGTTTCTTGCTGTCTGCCATCTATTGCCAGTTTCATTCTGCTAATCCAGAGAATAAATTTCCTGAATACTTGTAGTTCATTGAGAGAGCGGTTTTCGTCGTGCGCGACGTGAATAAGTGTTAATTTCACGTAATACGTTTCCTATGAAGTTTTCCTTCATATTACCTCAATCTAACTGTTGCCTCTTCTGCAACAAAAAAATGAACTATTTTTATTGACGGATTTTCTGTGATTCAGTTCTTAATCAAATATTTTAGAACAAATTGTAGCTCTGGAAAATTCCTGCTAAGCAAATTCGAATAGTTACAAAAACATATTTTTTATGATTATTTTATAACTCTCGAATCGATTGTGTAATACTTGGGTGTTTTCCCGTAAAATTTGTACACATAAATTTTTTCTGTTCATTTCGAGTCTTTAAAAGCTGTGTGAACTCATTTATATGCGCTTGGAATAAAAGGAGGAGCCATCTAGGACAGTAGTTTTCGATCTCTTTTGCCCAGTGCATCACTTTCACTACTGGTAAATACTACTAATATGCGAAATTATATTAAAGTCGTTAAATCCAAATATTGCTAGTCGGAAATTATTTGCCTGCCTGGCCAACTTTTGTCGAATATTTTTCATTACATATTTGCGATCTGATGCGTAGATACAATTTTCTAGCTCTGGTAATGATCATAAATGATTTTTTTCTTCCATCTGCGTGTGTTTTCATTTATTTTAAAATGAACCTTTATTAGTTATTAACAGGGTCAGATTATCAGAGCCCTAAACTTTGAGGGATTTCTAAATGAACGTATAATTTCTCTTAACCGTGTTTTCCTTATCATGAATACAGTGTAAATGGGCGCTCGGAATTTCTGAAAGAACGCTGTACCATAAACTCCTTTATTTAATCGGAATTCGACTATAAACGAATTAAAAAATGTTTAAGTACTTAAGTCCCTCTGCGATTAAAAAATGTATTAAATTTCTTGTGCGGAGAGCTGCCTAGTCGGCCACGGTACCAAGCACAGCGTGCATGACCAACCGCTACTACTTTCGTTATGAGTCCAAAGTGCTAAGTTCAATATCTAGTCGTGCATTTTCCGGCGCCTCGTACCGACAGGCAGTCATGTGCCGGAAGTGACGTTACTACTCTCACCTACCTCTCTTCACCACATCTAAGCGCCGCTGAGCCCCGAATACGGAAAGAAATCTCATTGGTAATTCTCGCGGTAATGTAATCGGCTGTAGCGATTTGAGGCTTTGGAGTTTCGGTCTTACCCATTTGAGATTTTTTTAAATTTCCCGCGTCTTTTCTTGTTCTCGATAAAAAAAAAAAAAAAAAAAAAAAAACTGTGTAATTTTTTTTTTAACTGGATGACATAAATTCGGCGACTTCTGCTTTAATAATGTAGTTTCTCTTAAGTTATGCATCTGAGCCCTTGTGTGATAGATATATGAACATTGCATTTTGCATGCATGTGCTAACTCATAATATTGAAATACTTCGTATTTACAGTAATAAAGAAGTAAAATTCAACAGTCGCTCTTGATTGTATTTAGTTAACGGATAATGCATTAATACTGAACTGTCTGCAAGGCGAACTGTAAGCTATCGACATTAACAGTTTTTTTTTTTTTTTTTTTCCATTGTGCACTAACATATAGTTTCGCACGAAATATATAAAACTGGAAAACGCAAGAGTATCTCGTTTTAACCTCGAACATTATTTAAAAGATGTTTCACTGTGGATGTAAAAGTAGAGACGTCAGTTCAAACTCTCCAAAATCTGTCCAGGCGCAATCCAGCCGTATTAAGAAAAGAATAGAAAAGGTAAGTTTCTAAAATTTTTCAGTATAGTTTTAGTGCATTATAAATTGCAAAGTTGATTAAAATAGTTCTGAACCATTTACCGTTTTGGGGGGTATTTGCTGTTTAGGCATTCTCACGAGCTTTTATAAAACATGTTTATCGATTATTTCTTCTGTGACCTTATTCGTATGTCTTTGCGAAGTTCTCTAATGGAAGAATGCTCGGTGATGTTGCAAACGCAAAGGTCGGTTCAAGGTTCGAAGATTGGTTTGATTTACTTAATTTTGATTGAAATCAAATTGGCAAAATATAAGAATCTCTAGGTAACTAGCAAGTAAAGCAACAGCTAATGGTGAATAGTTTACTGTATTCATACAATTGTTGTGTTCCTGAAAACGGAAAAAAAAAAAAAAAAAATTATATAATTGATAAGATGAAGTGTAGATGCTGAAAAGTGATGAATATTTTATATTATGTCATAGGTTCAATTTAAGTTAATTTCTTTTTGTACAGAAGGATCCTTGACAGAGGCATTTAGATTATCTTATGTTACGAATAAATGTTTTGTTTATTATAAACCCAGCCTAGCAATGATTTAAACTGTAAACGAAACACATATTTTTGATGAATGTTTCATTGCAATTGACAGTAAATTGATCTAAAAAATGAAAACATATTTTTAAAGAATGTTTAATTGTAATTAGAGTTTATTATTATATTTACGAGAAACTACGTTTCAGAATTTAATTGTGTGAAGTACCGTAATGTGAAAGGTATTTTCAAAAGTAAAAGGAAAGTTTAAAATTATTCTTTAATTTGTAACTTGTTTCGGTTTATATAAAAAAATAATAATAATAATCTGAAAAATAGTAATATTAAATTACCTCTAAAGGGGCGTTTTTTTAACATTTTGTATGTTACCTTTATTTATTAAATATCATGTTCTTCGCACTTAAACCATAAAATTCAGTTCAACAACAATATCGCAAAATAATTTTAAATTGAGCTTATCTTTAGAATTTCCGATACACGCGCTGGAGACAAAAATGTTTTTTCTGTGCAACGTTTCCATTGCTTCCTTTGAAATCCTTGAGTTTGTTAATCAAAAATTCGTTAACGTTTTACAAAATATGAAATCTATAATAAAACATAATTCCAAATTTCAAATTTGGGCTTCCAGATGCCCATATTCGCAGTAGGATTAAGTCATTTAAAATTGGATGGCTCTAGGTACCGTTGCTTTATCACAATGCGAGAAACATACATATATTTATGCAGATTCTTCGTTTTTTAATTTCTTCAAATATAATACAGGGTGATAATATTTGGTGGCAACAGTTTGAAAAGTGAAACGGACATTCAAAGTGATTCGACACAAAATCGCAAAACGAAAACAATAATCCCTCATTTACAAATCCCCTTTCGACTAAAAAACATACGTAGATAAATATAATAAGAAAACAAGTACTCGAATAAGACGAGAATATGGTAGTTATTGCTGCTAGTTTCTATGTTCTGTTAACTATTCAGTAATTACTGTAAATTTTGTAAATGACTTTCAGTTCTTTTGTAATTCTCTTCTGCAGAGTCACCCATATTTCTTATAGACAGTCATTTGAAGTCCGAAAAGAATCTTGAATTGATGAGATCAAAATAAAATGCAGTAACATATTCTGATTGTGGATTCACATGTCTTGCAGAAACCAGTACTCGGCATTATGTAACATCCCAAACGTTTTGTCTGTTATCAAGTAAGAACTGACACCTAATTACGCAATTTATCAGCGTTTCCGAACTTTTTTATCCTTGTGAAACCCTTGAAGTAATAGCCGTGTCCCTTGCATAAAAATGTTATGTATCGTACTAATATATCTTCCTTTCTTTTGCATTAAGTTCAGACGGAAAACATAAGATGACTTTTTTAAACTTAATTTTTTTCTCAAATTTATTAAAATTACCTCTCCCCCTCAAATGCCTTTTCTACAATTTAACTACCTTATACTGCTGTTAATCGTACTAAAAATTAACCGTATCTCTGATTAAAAATGAATAAAATAATAATGCGAAGTTAAAATAAATTAATTATAAATAAGACCAAATTAAAAGTAATGAATGATAGAAATAAAAGGAATAAAAAATAAGTCACCAATATTTTAAAATGCTTATAAACAGAACAAAAGCTGCTAAATAACATAAACATTTATTGACGCTGTTCAAAAGGTATGCGATAAATTAATATAAGTTACAGTATCGTTGTAGAATTACTCTAATTAGTAATATGGTAAAATTACATTAGGTAGTAAACATAAATTTCTAGAATTTAATACATTAGAGTAAATTAATAACATTACAGAAATCTGGAAAATCTAGTTAATCAAGGTCAGCTAGTAAAATAATGCATAGGAAATTTTGCGTAAAAAGGACATAACAATACATTAACGTGATTATTCTATTCATCACTATTTTTCCGGAATACTAGGATTGCGAGGAGCCTTTTATGGTAAACACTGGTTTTAATTTTAGATATCTGAGTATTAATAAGAAATTAGATTTTTAAATAAAAACTCATTTACTTATTTTTCCATTTGGAAAGCAACAAAACTGACATTTACGGGTATGAATAGTATACTGGGTTTAGAGACTTCATTTAAGAGTTCCATCGAAGAGCAACTGATCCTTTACTTACATAATTTGGTGCAAAAATCCTGCAAATATTTGTGACCATTTGCATTTTTCAAAAGACATTCTTTTTCTGTTCTAACTTTTAGGGTAACGCTAGCTCTGAAATACCACAAAACGTTATGAAATTGCCTTTAAATCATGCAGATTTATTGCATTTAGAATAGGCTTTACTTTCGTAATCCCTTCAAACACTGAAAGCATATCAGCATATTTCACCAACTTGTATTTGTAATTTAAACAAGATAAGCTGTAAGATCAATGTATGAATTTAGATTAATACTCAGATTTATCGTAAATACGATGCTGTTAATTCGGAAAATATTGTAGTATTTTGTTTCTGCGTTCTTTTTCTTACAAAAATTATGAGATAATTTGATTGCAACTCGATGTTAAGTTTTTATTCATACATAAAACTAGACGTTTTGACTGATGTTAAAAAGAAAACTTAAGTTTTCTGAGATAACCTGGATGGCTCAATAAATGTTGACAATTTTCAGATGAAATGAGTAATGAAATAAAAAAATTTGAGTGTGTCTGCTGATTAAATTATCTGCAAAAAAACATATAAATTTTTACAAAAATTATATTCATTTAAAAAGAATTATCGCAACTTTAAGTGTCATAAATATAGTGAATCAGTCCAAAGGTAATTTCATAAGAAATTCAAAACATTTGCTGTTTTAAAATTATCAGCTTTATTTTAAAACTAATTTCAAAAGTAAGGATGCGAGAGAAATGCATGTATCAACATGTGCATCAACGTTTTAATGGCATAATAAAAAGTATGTATTTTGAAAACAGTAGAAAACTAAAGTAGTTGAAAGGAGAATGGCATTAAAAGTAAAGTAGCCGTTCTTTCCGAAACTGACAATTCTAGCTACTTAAAAAAAAATAACAATAATAAAATAAAAAGGCTTTTTAGTGTTGTTATTTCACAGAGCCGTACCTAGATATGTTTTCATCTGAGGTAAATGTGCACCCGTATATACAAATTAACCGTATCTGTGTTTCTACAGCGGTAACTATTAAATCATAATAACATAACCTCGTGTAATATTTATATCATAGCTGTATATATTCACAGAAAAGTAGTACATGCGATGATTAATAACTTTTAAATGAAAACTTTAAAAAATAGCAAATAACGTTGAAATAATGTAAATAGTAATGAAATTACTATAAAAAATTAATTAATTTTCGAATTTTTTATTTTTGTAATTAAATTTTTCTTGCTTTTAATAAAGGAAAATCGATAATAATTCTTGTTCTATAGAGGGTACAGGCATGTTTGAAAGAATTGTTTTCTTAAATATTCAAGTGTCTGATCACAATGGTTTATTACTTTTAATTTGTTCAAACTTTTTTTACTCTAATGATAATAATTGGCAACCATAAAAGTATTCTTAAAGCAGTATCTGAATTCTTAAAAGCAATATCTTGACGTGCCTCAGAGTAATAATAATTTTTAATGATTTTTCTCATTGTTAATTTAGCATCCTTTCTACTTGTTCCCTGAGCACTTGCCTCATCCATGTCCAGCCTATGTTATTTCAAAAATTCAGCGTAACACATTAAATTGCTCCCCCAGATGTGTAGTTATAACCATAAAACTGCTGAAGACGATCACCATCGATTACTGACGGTTTTTTCATCTCTGGAAACCGCAGCTTTAGAGAATATGGCTATTTGTGATATTTATTACAGGTGTTTATTTATGTTCTCAGGCATCCTAGTCACTTTTAGATAGGCCGTCTATTGGAGGTAGTCGCCATGAGAAGGCTCTCTGTATTTGTTATAAATTACATGCATTGTTGCGGCATTTGTTCCCATTAAACCGAGTTCAGTTACTAATGTCAGAAATTTCAAAGAAACATTATTGTTCTGAAAATGAACACTCAGTCCAAAACACTCAATTCCAGTACTGGGAAAACTGTATAGATTTACAGTTGTTACGCAACTTTCTAGTACAATATATCATTAAATAATTTGTTATCAGATAACTATCTTCCATTAGAATGCTTTTCCCTCGCTTTCATCACCACAATTCAGAAATTTTTTTAATCCATTTAAAACTATGTAGATGAATTAATTTTAATATCCATTTTCACTAAGGTGAAGCGCACTTCAGGGGGAAAAAGTCAAAATTCTTTCACTTGTCATTCCCCCCCCCCTTTTTTTTTTTTTTTTTTTTTTTTTTTTGTGATCTCGTTACTTACTACTACGGTATGTCCTTGGCGCGAAATGACGCGGTTGGGATGCTCATCGTAAACAGAATGTAACGTTATCAAGACTTGAAAAATCCCTATAAATCACTAAAGCTAAAATCAGTCTCGCTCACG